GTCCTCCGAGCCGATGGCTGCGCTGAAACCACCCAGCGACAGGATCGCCACAGCCAGTCGCCCCATATCGATACCAGTGCACGTGGCCCCGTCTCACCCGCCGCCCTCGCCTTCGCCGCCGTTGCCTACTCACGTACCTCCCGAGCCTCCCCGCCTACCCCTGCCCGCGTCCAGCCCTGCAGTGGAGCCCCAGCTCTCCCTGGAAGCGCCCAAGGAGACCTCTCTGCAAGAAGATCTCAGGTTACTGGAAGTGTCCAAGAGGACGACGGAGCAAGGGTTCGGGGAACCGTACGTGCCTGCGCGGCTGCCCCAGGTCCCCCTGCACATCCGGATCCAGCAGGCTCTGGCAAGCCCCCTGCCTGCTACCCCGCCTGCCGAGGGATCGCACCGGGCTCACTCGCTGCTCTTCGAGAACGACAGCTTCAGCGAAGACAACGGCACCCTGGGCCGGACCAGGTCGCTGCCGGTCACCATTGAGATGCTGAAAGTGTGAGTACCGACCTTGTGCGTGCAGATGCATGGCAGTGCCATCACCTTTGCAACCGGGGGGGTGGAGAGCCAGGCATGCGGTAGTCTGCAGCGGGATGTTCTGGTGTCCTGTTGTCTGCTCCCTGCGGGGGTAAACCCTCTCATTTTGGAAAGAGCTTTGGGACCTTTGTGTTCAGGGAGCATGCCTCTGATGGCACTAAAACCAAAAGAAATCGTGGCTCTTGCACGTCCCCGCTCTGTTGCTGATAGCCTGGGGAGGGGAGGACTGCAAGGCGGTAGGTTGGGGGACTCTGGCAGCATGTCTGACCCTGAAAGCCCTGGGAGGGGTTGGAGGATAATACTCCCCTTCTGCACAGGTGCTAGCGGAGAGAAAAGCCGTTCAGATCCAATGAGGTAGGGCTGGAGGAGCGATGATAGCATGGAGGCAGACAGCTCCCTGCCTTATCCTGCATCTTCCAGCTGTCTTGGGCAAGTCAGAAGCATCCAAGGAAGGGTGGTGGGCTCCTGCGTGCTCTTGGGTGCCTTTGAAAATCCCACGTTCAGTCTCTCTGCTCCCTCAGTTTAAGCTTTTAATGACTGAGTGTTTGACAGCACCTGCTTGAGCGCTGCTGTTGAAGAACAAGGGGGTGTGAAGCCTGTTCATAGCTCAGCAAGGCCTTGCAGAATTGCGGGGTAAGATGGGGGCTGGAGGGAAACCTCTGTGCGCGACGAGGAAATCTTTTAAACTGTGAGCCTGTTTAGTTTTAGTTGCCATTGTCAGGGATAGACGTATTCTCCAGCTCCAGACACCTGTGCTGATATGAAATGCTTAAGAGAAATAACATGTGTTTTGTTAGTCCAGACGAGGAGGAGGAGGAAGAGGACCCGGAGGATGAACGGCGTCCAGCTCCTCACGTGTACATCGGAGAGACGCCGTCAGTCACAATCATTCCTAAGCTCGTGCCACAGCCCCTGCAGGAGGAAGAGGAGATGGAGGAGGGTGTGAGCGATTCGGACTCGGAAGGACCCATCCTGTATAAGGATGAGGAGGAGGACGAAGAGGAAGACGAGAGCCTCAAGAGTAAGGTTTTTGCTTTGCAGCCGCTTCTCTCCTCGTGCACCCACGTGCACGCGCACGACTGCACTTGGCCGTGTCACGGGCCAGTGACAGAGCTAGTCGGTGCAGCCTCCCGAGGTGTCGTCCTCTGGCTTTGGGACAAGTTGTGCATCCACCGCCTTCCCTTTCTTTCCCGTTCAAATGCAGTGCTGAGCAACTGAGCCACCCCGCTAAGGGGAAACACTTGCTCTCCAGCAGGAAATGGCCCAAATGATCGACTGCACGTGTCTAGTGCCACCTCCAGAGAGATGACACCAGGCTACCGGGCATCAGGGTTCAATCCTATATAGGTTGCACAGTGTAAATGGGGCGTATGGTCCCCACACCCCCCCCAGTGAGCATCTGACCCTGCCTGCTTGGCTGTGAAATTGCCCCCTGGTACTTGCAGAGCCGTGAGCCGGGCTCTGGATCTTGCTGCTCATTCCCAGCTTGGAGGCATGGCGATTTCTACTTGAGTAAGGTCCCTTCTCTCCTCTCCCAAAGGCACGCTAGCCAGCAAGGTGAAGAGGAAAGACACGCTGGCCATGAAGCTGGGGAGCATGGCTGCCCAGCAGGAGGCAAAAAACAGCTTCCCTCGTAAGAGCAAGGAGGAATGGAACGAAATTCGGCACCAGATTGGAACAACGCTGATCAGGTACAGCGGCCGCGGGCTGGCGTTTCTTGCGAGTCTTTGGCATAAGCAGTAGTGAAATGAGAAGCATGCGTCAGACCGTGCTGGATTATGGCAGGTGGGGGGGAGGGGAAGGGAG